GTGTGTGTGTGTGTGTTTGTGTGTGTGTGTGTGTGTGTGTGTGTGTGTCTTACTAGGGAACCGAGGAGCAGACAACATCACAGCTCCAGGTCCAGAGCAGCAGGGCAGAGAAACACTGGTCATAATAACTGGAGCGACAGACAGACAGACGGATGAGATCTAGTTTTCTAGATCTATACAATTCTTGATAAAACTAAAATTTAGTTAATTTTCTTCAGACAGTGAAGGAAAAACATGAAGTGCAGTACATAAAGTTGACAGACCATGTTTGAGCACAACATAATTCCCATACTTTTAGTGATATTTCATAGCTTCGAAATTACTATTATTCTATTCTATACTGTTATTCTATCATGTGAAAATAGTCAGTAAATAATGAGTATATGTGTCCAAACGTTTGATTGGTAGTGTGCAGAATGCATTTATGTGATTAGATTCTAAAAAGTAGGCAGCACGTAAATAATTAATATTGCAATGTGTAACTATGTCCATATATGTTAAAAGTAATGAATTTGAACCTAAAAATATGCAGGTAGATGTGTTGTGGGAAATAAAATTAATCAGAATATTTTAAACAAGTAGTTGACAGTGTTGTCAGTGATCTGTAGTGTGATACGCATCATTAAAAACTACTTTAAACAATATTTTTCTAAATCTGGTATACTAAAAATTTCATTAAAGCTTTAATACATTAAAATATATTGTAATATATAGACTGCATGGAATATGTAGACAATTAATTATAATTATATATATATATATATATATATATATTAACCTAAAATCCTAAATCTTTTTTTCTTGGTATTTAAAAGGTAATACATAACGGTGCATTCAGTGAAAAGGAAAAAAAAATACAGATTGTCTCAATTCAAACCCTCAAACTTAAAAAAAAAAAAATTACAAATATAATTTAATATAAAACCAAGATAGATTGATAGAACGATGGAAATATTCCTCTTTCCGGTATATTACTGTAAAATCTTGGTGCTGATGTACGGTGAAAAACGTGGCTATGTTTTAACTTTAAATACCGTTTGTAAATATAGATGTATTTTCACAAAAATATTGAGAATCTGAACTGATCAAAGCTTTTAATTTAATTAAAAAGTAATTGAATTATTTTGATGATGTTATAAGAATGTAAAACTGTATGAGATATTCATTATCATTATTAATATAGCTAACTAAAACCATAAAAAATACATTTTCATTACTTGAAATAAAAATATATTTTTAAAAAATGTACTTGTTTTATTTCAGCTTGTTGCCAAGGCAACATTTCTCATTTTCTTTCAAATTAAACTTATAAATAACTCAAACTGAAACTGAAATAAAAAAGAATTAATTAACAACGAATTGACTAAAAAGTAACAAAAATGAAGATAAAATCAGGAAAAAAAGCTAAAATACTCATAAAAACGATATAATGACTGTTTCTCTCAGGTGGTCTTACCTGACGGTGTCTGAACCCGTTCCTGAGAAACGTGAAGCAGAGCCGGGGAGCATCTCTTGAGACAGACACCTGGCGCAGGTGCACGCAGCAGGCTCTCAATCAGAAAACACTTCCCAGAATTCCCAAATCCAGGATGCCTCGGAGGAAACCCAGCCATGTGTCTGCGGTGCCTCGTCCTCCGATCTAGAGAGTTTCTCCTCTCGCGTGTGAGAGTTCACTTCATTAAAGAGCACAAAGAAAGCAATGCGGCTCTCTGATTGGCTCTGATGAGACCGGCTCTTTCTGTGGGACAGAAGGTGGAACCCCTTCATTCATGACGTCAAAGCTCCCATTAAATGATAGACACTGGAGACAATGGACTCCCGGCCAAAGTTTAACTCGCACACCAAACACAGCCCGGCGGCAGTAAATACTGGTATCTTTTTTCAGCGCCGGCCATTGAGGAGGCCATTGAGAGACGGCCTGGAAAATATCTGTGCCTCAGTCTATCAATGTGGACTATATTTCTTTACTTTATTGTTGTCCGTCCTCACAGCTGTGGACAATGAGAGCTTGTTTGCAATCAACAAGTGGTATTTTACCGTAATTAATGCATGTGTGAAACTCACAAAAACTTTTAAAGAACACGTCGGACCTGTTTTTTACCCAAAAATCAGAAGAAATCAATTATTTTTGCATGAAGCCTAATTTTAGTATATCTTTCAGATTTTTTCTTTAAAAATTAAGCGCATTGCCCTAATTTAATAAAACATGTGAAAAATAATGCTATATTATTTTAAACTGTATTTAAAATGTATTTAAAAATCGCTGTACTGCCTACATTTTCTTTTTTAATAATTTCATTTTAAATACTTTTACACAATAAATTATGGTATTACAGTAATGAAAATCTAATGAGTATTGGGAATTTAAAAAAAAAAAAATCATTATTTTTTATTTTAGGATAAAAGATAAAATTTAATTTTAGCATAGTTAGGATTATTTTCTTAAAAATTAAGCATGTTACCCTGATTTAGAAAGAAAGAAAGAAAGAAAGGAAGAAAATCTCTTTAGCGTTACTATAATGTGGAAAAATAATGATATATATAGTATTTAAGTTGTTTTTAAAATGTAATTGTAATGCTGTTTATTGTACTGCCTTTTAATTTATACCAAATTACATTTAAATCTTTTTATTTTTAATAGTTTTACAGTACAAATGATGGTATTACAGTAATCAAAATCTAATTAGCAATCTTCATTTTCTTGATGCAAAATATTATTAATTTTTTTTATTTTATTTAAGGGTAAACAATGATTCAAATATGTTTTTCCAAATTAAAACAGCGCTTAAAAATGTGTCTTTTCTGTTGCAAAGCAGAAATATTATGAAATACAGAACTGCTTTTGTTCTACATTTACTGCCAAAAAGCGGTGAGCATTATTTTACGTTTACCAAGAGTTTTCAGTGCGGCTGCAAACATGTTAGCAATGATCTGAATTTATGAAACCTACATATTTATTTCTATCAAAACAACATAAATATTACTCCAAAATAAATACATTTTATTTGCATGAACTTTCGCTTTCAGATGAATAAAGTGCTACATTTTTCACACTGCAATGGTTCATCAATAGACGTGCATATTCATGTTCATCAACTAAATTCAGTCCCAAAAGTGTGTGAGATATATGAAAACGTTTTTGACACTAATATAACTTCATAGAACATCTGTGAGCCTGCAGCACAAAAGCAGTGTTAAGTCGCTGGGGTATATTTGTAGCAATAGCCAACAATACATTGTATGGGTCACAATTATAGATTTTTCTTTTATGCCAAAAATCATTAGGATATTAAGTAAAGATCATGTTCCATGTATATATATATATATATATATATATATTAAAAAATTATTTTGTGGGTAGCTTTTAAATGATTTGCTCAAATATGCATAAACATTTCTTTCACTTATTGTCGTAATCCCTCACACCAGTCGGCATGGTTTTCCCAAACAGGCGGAATTAGTGCTTTATGAAGTGGAGTCACTAAAACGTTAGTTCATGTGAACCCATTTGAAGCTTTTATGCCTTTTAAAGGACAACTGAAAAAATGCGAGTCCTCACTGACAGTCTGTAAAGAGTGGGCGCAGTGAGAGCAGCTGTGAGAGGTCGCTCTCCTCTTCACACCGTGACCTCTTGAAAACGGCCGTCTCTCAATGCTTCTGTCCTCTGGGCTCTTCACACGCTGAAAGAGCACAATGCGGGGAGACTCTGTAATGAGGAGAAACTCGGTCAGGCCTGTTTGATTCACGCTCACAAACCCTTGTGGATGCAATTTTGTTCAGCACATAAAACATTAGCACATGAAACTGAGAAGAGGTTCAACTTCTGTCAAGCTCTGCTTCTGATGAAGTAGTTCTGCAATAAAACCTGTCAGCAATTCGATCAGGAAATCTGCTTCTGTATTTTAAATCACGCTCTATTAAAATGTCACTTTCTTCATTCATATTCCTAATAGCAGTCAATCACGTCCCACTTATACACTCAAATAAATCATCTTCTGAACCAGTTTACTGAAATGAACTGTTCAAATGAACCGATTCACTCAAATGAATCAGATATTCTCGAAGAGTGTGTTTGACTATCATCACAATACACTACTGTGATACATATTTATATAGATACACTATTATATTTCACTATATATATATATATATATATATATATATATATATATATATGTGTATATATAAACATTTTATATATATTATATATTGTATATTATATATTTTTTAATCATTTTAATCTGTTTGTCATTATCTGTCATTTTCATAGGGTACCATTTAAATCCAATTTTATTTTATATATATTTTTTTTTTATAATTTTGAATGGTTTCTATTACTGGTATCTATCATTTTTATGTGGAGAAAATCATTTAAAAATGATATTTTATTTTATTTTTTCTTATTTTAGATGTCTACAGTATCTATCAAAAGTTTGAGGTAAGTTTTTAAAAGAAATGTATACTTTTATCAATCAATGCATTAAACTGATCATAAGTGACAGTAAAGATTTATAATGTTACAAAAGTTTCAAATAAATGCTGTTCTTCTGAACTTTCTATTCATCTGTGAATCCTGAAAAATAAAATGTATCACGGTTTCCACAAAAATATTCATTATCACAACTGTTTTCATCATTGATAATGATCAGAAATGTTTCTTGAGCAGCAAATCAGCATATTAGAATGATTTCTGAAGATCATGTGACACTGAAGACTGGCGTAATGATGCTGAAAATACAGCTGCGCATCACAGAAATACATTACAGTTTAACAGATATTCACATAGAAATTGCATTTGTGATCAAATAAATGCAACCTTGATGATAAAAAAAACATTTAAAAAGTGTAAATAAGCAGTGTAAATTGTTGAGGTGGCTTTTTTTTTCTTTTTTTTTTTTGCTGAGTTAGTGTCACACTACAAATAAATGTTAAGGCTAATTTTAGGCCAAATATGGGTCAAAAACACAATAATATATAGTAGAAACATTTATTATTTACAGCACAAAAAAACAACGAAAAACAGACATAAATACACTTGGATATCTTTCTTTACAAATTACATCTGAATAGAAAATAATATTCTTTACAATTATTTAATCTCTATGTACAACAGTCGTAGTGCATCTCAAGAGCTGTGTGTGTGTGTGTGTGTGTGTGTGTGTGTGTGTGTGTGTGTGTGTGTGTGAG